CCCGTTTCTCTTCCTTTTAGCGGTCTTTGGCCCCTTCTTCTTTCGCTTCCCAATGTTCCCGAATAGGTCCCAATCAATGGTGCATAGCTGCTCATTCCCCTCTCCCTCCTCCTCGTCGTCCCCCACTTCCTCTTCCTCTGCTGCTGCCGGTTCCACGGCACTCCCTTGCTGGAGGGTGCCGTTGGCCAGATCGGCATAAAGCTTCTCCCTCTGGCGTGATTTCCTATCGAAAGCATCCCTGGCCCTCCTGGCGAACGCCACCTTAGTCACGTCCATCATCTTGTTGGCACTGAGGCGGTTACGGTCCCGCCTCTGCACCCGTGCAATGGCGGACCAGTAGCGTTCGACCTCAGAAGACGTGACTGGCTGTGACAGCACCGTCACAGCCATCCCCATGAGCGCTCGCAATTCCCCCCCATACATCAGCCACCACTCTGCCTCCGTCAAGCGCCCACTCACCACCAACACCGTTGCTGCCCAACGGGCATCATCGGACCCTATAAGCCCCTCTCCTTTATGAAACTGCGTCAACTGCACCAACAGCAGCGTGCGTTGTGCGACGTCTCCCCCACGGGCCTGGATCACCGCTTCCGCCCCAAGCCTTACCTCGGGATCGTTCTTCACCTCTTTGCCGTACTGATTGCGCGGGTTCAGAAGCCACCCCATAGCATGGAGTGGATTGTGGAGCTGGGAGTCCCACCTCCTTGCTATGATAGCCTTGATGGCGGCCAGAAAGGCCGGCTTGTCTTTGGCCGGCAAGAGAGCGGTGCGTTTCAGCATCATTTTGGCTGCCCAGTGGGGAGAACCGGAGAGCACGAGGTGAGCACAATTGGCGGGAAGGGTATACAATAGCCAGAACGTGCGGCAATTCACAGCTTACCTGCCGCCTCTGCCGCATTGTTTGTCTTCACCGTGGCATCTAGCATGAGGCCATAGATCTGGCCCATGACTAGAGCACGGGTGTCAACCACCCGCAGCACTTCATACACGGGTGTCATGAGGCGGAGGACCGCTGTCGCGCACTCCCAAAAGACCTCATCCAAGAGGAGGTGGCGGACAGCTCGCCCCTCCTCAGACTGCGCCACCGCCACCAACTCCCACTCCTCACTGATGATCATCTCCTTGAGCGCTTTCTTTACTTCCAGGAAGCGGGCAAGCATGATAACTTGCGTGCCGAAGCGTGTTGCACCGGGCCGCACCAAGGACAAAGTGCTAAACAACTCGTGGAAGAGCGTGACGGCAGACGCGCTTCCCTTGACGATCATAACCACCCTGTGCACCTGGTTGAGCACTCGCCGCACAGCACGGACCCTCCCGATGTCGTGGAGCATCAGGTCCAGGATGTGCGCCGCACAGTTGTTGAAAAACACTGCAGGAAAACCGTCCTGGAGGATGTCGGCCGCCCTACGGTTGTTGGACGCATTGTCCATGACCACCTGCACCACCTTCTTGCCTCCAACCTCGGCGATTGAGGTCCGGATGAGGCCGGCCAAGTACTCCCCCGTCTTCTTCGCGGTCTTGGAGTCCACGGTCTTCACGATGACAGGCGCCGTGTCATTGTGGGCTATGACACACACGAGCCCACGGCTCTTCATGCAGGTCCAGCCGTCCACGGAGATGGTGCAGCCGCTAGTGTTCCAACTCTCCTTCAGGGGCCTTACAAGGTCCTCGGTATCCGCTACCAGTTTTTGAAGGAAAACACCAGAAACCCTTAAGGGGGATGGGAGGGTGTATTGTTTCCCGAAGGCAGCAGCCGCATCCACGAAGTTCTGCACGGCTGGCGACTTGGACGTGTGGAACGCCCAATAGTTATCAGCCACTGCAGCGGCCCATAGGTAGTCCAGTCGAGCGCGTGCAGAGTGATCCACCATGTCGCGGATGTCCCGCTGTCGAGTGCGGCGAGAGGGCTGGATGTCTAGGGTTGAAGTGGAGCCAAGGATTGACGGAGTGGTGCTTCCAGAAAGCTCATTAGCAGCTGCTTCCTCGCGAAGTTTGATGGCGACTTCGTGGGTGCACGGCGTCACATTCTTATCTTTGTCCTTCGGCGTCCCATAGATGTGCTCTCCTATGCGTGTAGCATTAGCAGTCACGGATTCGGAGCAGTGTACGCATTTCGCCGTTAAGGTGCCGTCTGGTCCCTTAGTCGTTGTAACGTGTTTCCACAGCGGCGATTTCTGCCTTGCCATGGCGTACATCCTGACTGGCACGAACCCTAGTGGAGCACCCTGAAGACTAGACTAGAGCAGAGCTATGCTCAGAATATGATTAGGAGTGGCTAAACCGAGCTCCTAAGTACCTCGTTGTGGAAGCTGGGTGTGTTGTGTCGAGTGGGTTTTTGAAAAGGTTGAGCTCACGGGATGTATTCTGATTGGTTAGATTGGTTTCGCATCGCGACTTTTGGATGTGTCGCGACTGCGAGCGAAACCAAACCTCCGCCGTGCGAAAATGTTTAACGGAAATCACGAAATGTGGGGTCGAATGGGTACCGTTCGCCACATGTTAGAATGTCGCGCCTCGGGAAATTGTACATGTTCCGCTTTGGCGACTCATGCCAACGAGTTGGTGAAACACGTAAACTCGAAATTGGCCTCGCCAAATGCCCAAATGTCGCGACGCGAAAGAGTCGTGACATTTGCGACGCAGGAAAAAAACACATTCGTGTGTACGGTTGTGAGAGAAATTCACGGTTGGGAGAAATGTGCGTGTGACACTATGATTCCTGATATACACAGACCCGGTTTCAATTTTCCGGTCGAATTATACAGTCGTATTTTTGAACCAAACACAAAAAACCTCAATCCACCGTATTCAACCGTATTTTACGGTCGTATTATACGATTTCGTATTATACGGTGAAAATTCAATAATATGGTCGTAATTTTGAACCTTGCTCCCTACTATTTCTTCTCTCTTGATTTTGTCACCTCTGGTATTTCTACATTTCTTTTCCGTGACTCCCTCCATTCCCTTTTCTACATTGTGCAAACACACCGACGGACACGAATCTTGCCTTCGCAGGTGTCCACCCCCCACCACACCACACCACCAACAGCTCTCTCAACTCCAACTTGCTGTCAGGATCTGTGCCCTCCTCGATCACAAAACTCACTGCTCTTACATTTTTGTAATTGGGTGCCAGGTTCCCAGAGGTCCTAATATAGATCCGTTGTATTGTTTTTCTCTTTTTTTCTTTTGAATATTTTTTGCAGCTTGTGCCACAAAGATTTTTGTAGTACTACTAGTTAGGCAGCACGAGCAAGGCCCGAGACAGGGCAGGGCCGGCACAAAACATGCTGGGAAATCTTTCTACAGACAGTGATCCTCTGTGTTTTTACCACATCTTTATTCCAATTCGGTACTAAAACATTCGTTGAGAAAAAAACGCACTGGAAAATGTGACTACAGCGATAGTGATTCAGGCCTAACTCGGGCAACCCTGTGACGAACCACCAATGACTGACTGGAACGCAATTCTAAAATCATGCTGGCGAGGTTTGAACTGGGCCAACCTGTTTGATTCTTCCTCATTTATAGTCTCATGCTAATACCACCATCCTACCTTTCTTCTCACCAATTTGTCCATCTCCCTTGCACGCCTCCCACGTGTCCCTCATAGGGATGAGCAAAGGGCGAACACGAACATGTTCGTCTTCGCCCCTTGTCGAACACCCTCTTTTGCCGAACCGAACACTCTTCCGTTCAGCGAACAGTTTAGGAAAAAACAGGTGTTCGCTGTTCGCCTGTGGAGGCGTGTTCAGGCGAACCCCTAACACTGTTCGTGTTCGTCGCGGGCAAATTTCAGCAGCGGCCCGAACACGAACGTGTTCTGGCGAACCGAACAGGTGTTCCCCACCTTGCTCATCCCTAGTCCCTCATCTCTCTGTCCCGGACAGCTCCCTTGCTAACAACCAGCTCACCAGCTCCATCCCTGCTGGCATTGGCTTGCTGACAAAGCTGGTAACCATGTAAGGATCCATTGTAGGTGCTTCGGTCACATTCCTAGGCATGAGCAATAACCGAACCAAAACTACTTGCGCACCAGATGGGGGTGGAGAGTTTCAGAACTGCACTCTTCAAGCCTTCAAGTCTTAAGGCACACGGGTTTTGCTCATGCCTTGATTGAACACCCTGATTGGGACAGGAGAGCTTGCCTGTCCCAAGTTTCTCGCCTGTCAGTTGCCCTCTTGTCTCGTGCTGTCAATTTCCTCTCACAGGAGAGCTTTTCTCATGATGAGCGCGAGCTAAGAACACAAGGGGGTGACTTTGATACATACGTGTGTCCATGCAATGAAGTCATTCGTGGAGTGCACCCTTTTTCCATTGTTTTGAATGGATGGGTTGCTGTACTTCAAATGTGGTGCTCAGTTGAATTCTCCTTACTTTGGTTAGCCCCACGATCTCTCTGTTCTTCTTACTGCCCTAGTTTCATGAAACATTTTCCTTCAAAAAGCCCACCAGCAGCATCCCACTTCGCATACTGGTGCATCATCATCCTAGAGTGCTGGTCTGGTTCTTCCTTCTTGCATTCGTACGCAATGGCAGGTGCCTCGAGAGTAATCAGCTCACGGGTTCAATTCCTGTGGAGATTGGCTCTCTACTATCTCTGGCATCCCTGTAAGGCTCCTTTCTGCCACACGAGCATAAGACTGGGCTAAGCTGGCTCGTTTTTGGGCCATGGAAAGCCGGTGGGCTGACAAGCCAAGCCGGAGTCTCCACTCGACGGGCCGGGCTGACTCGGCCCGTGGCTCGTCCGTCGTAGCAAGCCTTTGATAATGTGTGATCCCTCCCCCCCAACCTACTATCTCGTCTCTCTCGAATTGGTCACCTTTTTGACCTCTACATTTCCTTCTCGTCACTGGCCCCATTCCCTTCCCTATCGTGTCCTGCAAACACGCCAATGAACTCATATTTTCTTTCCGTGCGTCCACCCACCACATCATCACCACAGCTCTCTCAACTCCAACTTGCTCTCAGGATCTTTGCCATCTGCAATCACAAAGCTCACTGCTCTTACATTCCTGTAAATAATCCATTGTATTGTTTTTCTTTGTCAGAAACCTTTGCAGAGTGTGCAACAAAAGCTATTGTAGTAGCACAAGTTAGGTACGATCAAGGGCTGAGCCAGGGCAGGGCCGGCACAAATCAAGGTGGGCAGCTTTCCAAAGACAGTGATTCTGTGTGTTTGAACCACGTCGTTTTATTCCATTTATGTGCTCAAACATTCGTTCACAGAACAGTTAAGCCTTGGAAAGTCCGTTTACAGCATTTGTGATTCAGGCCAAACTCGGGCAACCCTGTGACAAACCGCCCATGGCTGATTGGAACCCCACCTGGCCATCAGGCTGGTGAGGTTCAAAATGGGCCAACCCGATTGATCCTTCCTCATGTCCAGTCTCATGCTAATAATCACCGTCCCACCTTCCTTCTCACCAATTTGTCCATCGCCCTTGCACGCCTCCCACGTGTCCCTCGTCTCCCTGTCTCGGACAGCTCCCTCGCTAACAACCGGCTCACCAGCTCCATCCCCGCTGGCATTGGCTTGCTGACAAAGCTGGTAGCCATGTAAGGATCCATTGTAGGTGCTTCGCCCACATTCCTAGGCATGAGCAATAACTAAACCAAAACCACTTGCGCACCAGATGGGGGTGGAGAGTTTCAGAACCGCGCTCTTCAAGCCTTCAAGTCTTAAGGCACACGACACGGATTTTGCTCATGCCTTGATTGAACACCCTGATTGGGACAGGTCGCTGGTCTCCAACCAGCTCAACGGCTCCATTCCGGCAGACATTGGCGCCCTCACCAAGTTGACAATTATGTAAGAAGATACGCTTTTGTTGTTCTTCTCACATCTCCTGTGCTCTCCCAGGACTCTTTCCCCCCCTTTTCAGTATAGCACGACCTCTTTGATCTCCCTCAGTTCTCCCCTATATCCCTTCACTTCCCTGTTTCGATTGCTCACTTCCTTTTCCCTTCATTCAGATCTTCTCTTCTTTCTTGTGATCAAATTCTCCCAATATATTTTCTGCAAGTGGATGTCGTAATATCATAATTCCAATATTCGTGTTGCCTCACATTCTTCTAGCATTTTGCCTCGTCTCGTCTTCTCCAAAGGACGACCATCTTCATATGCTAATCACCCTTTGTATGGTCTTACCCAACCTCATCGCTGTCCTCCCTCGCTTCAGTCTGGTCTTCTCTTGTATGCTACAACGTCACTGTAACCCCAATGGTATTTTATAATCTGGCTTCATTTCAGAGCCGTTTCAAGCAACCAGTTGTCTGGCAGCATTCCTGCTGCCATCAGCACACTCGCCCAACTTCTTTGCCTGTTTGTGACTCTCTACTCTAGTCTAGTGCTGTCAGTTTCCTCTCACAGGGGAGCTTCTTTTTTATGTTAAGCGTGAGCTAACAACATTAGGGGCGTACATGCATGCATTAAAGTATTTTGCGAAGCACCCATTTAGATCCCATGATCAGAGTTGTGACTGGATGGGGTGTGGTGAAAAGTGGTGCTCAGATAAAATCTTCCTGGTGTAGTAGCCCCATTCTATTTCCCATCACAATATCACTGGTTTTTACTTACTCCCCTACTTTCATACATACACCAAATCCCGCGAGACTATCATCAGCCTTCTTCTCATCCTAGTGCTTGATCGGATCAACACGATTTGGTTCTGTGCAGTTTGGTTTGTTTTTTTCTGAATTGAGCCATTGTCCTTGAGCCACAAGTTTAGTACGGACCAGTTTGGGTGTGAATATAACCTTGAAACCAGAGAGTGTTGTAGCTTTATTTCAAGCTCTAATTTTCTCATAGTCTACGACGCCCCCTTCCACCTAGTCATGACCATGTGGCCCGGCCTGACCCGACCCGACCCGACTTGGCTGGGCCAGATGGGTTCCCGGGTCGGGCCAGCTTCGAGCCAAGCTTGTGGAGGGTCTGACCCGACCCGAGTTTTGAAATTCGGGTCAGAACTGACCCGACCCCGGGTCGGGTCGGGTCGGGCCAGGCTGACCCGCCCTGTTACAGGGTACGGGTGTGTATTAGCTGTAGTGAAAAGTGCTGTGCATGCGGCGCCCGTCAATCAGTACGAATTGGTACTAGTTTATGTGCTGGGCCCACTTATGAACGGTGGTTGTTTTAAGACATGACGCGTGCAGCCTCGAAGGTGAAATCGCACTAGTAAAACGTGAACTCGTGAGTATACTATCCCACCAGTGCGGTCTCCTTTAATAGCAGAGTATCATCTTCATATTAAATAGAAATGTTGGAAAACATGGTTCTGTAGGCTTTAAAATAGCTACTAACTTCGCTTAGGTAACATTAGTGGCTGAAGTTTGGCTACTTGGCGTGGCGCGTGCTCATGTTCTGATGACCGTTCAATCCTTGACATCAAATTTATGTAGGGTTTCGAACCCTACAGAGTTGGCCCGGCCCGAATTCCCCGACCAAGACCCGATATCGGGTCGGGTCAATCCTGGCTCGAAACCCGTCCCGACTCAGCCCAAGTTCTGATGTCGAGGGACTTCTTAATCCTCGTCATCAAATTTGTCTAGGGTTTCAAACCCTACAGAGTTGAAATCGGGTTGGGTCAATCCTGGCCCAAAACCCGGCCCTGACTCGGCCCAAGTTCTGTACCTGGGTCGGGTTTTAACTCGGGTTCGATCGGGCCAACCCGCGCGGGGCACATTTCTGAAATCCCTGACCCGACCAGCCCTAAACCACAGGTCGGGTTGATTAGGTTTTCCCAACTTTCTTGCTCAAATGTATCTTAACAGTCTAATCAATAGAACTGCTGCTCTCACAACCACGGCCTCCATGTTTCTCTCCTTGAACATTTCACTATCGTTACACTGGCTGAAACAGAAAAAGGAGCTGTTATCTAAAAAGAACCGTGGGAAACACACCAATGTTAGGCTATGAGGGAGCTGGAGCTTCGGCGTGGCTCGGATAGTTGTTGAAAACAAACCGGCCGAACAGAAGAACTGGTTCAATTTGTTGAAAAAAAAAAAACGGCCGCAAAAAAGAAAAACGGTATAGTTTGGGTAAAAAACGAACCGAACCGCGGTTATTTTTTGTGCTCATGCGGACTTTTATCATTTCACCTCACTATAACCTCAGTGGTGTTTATAATTTGGCATTCTTTTTCCACTCAGAGATTTTTCAAGCAACCAACTGTCTGGCAGCATTCCTGCTACCATCAGCACACTCACCCAAGTTTCTCGCCTGTCAGTTGCCCTCTTGTCTAGTGCTGTCAATTTCCTCTCACAGGAGAGCTTTTCTCATGATGAGCGCGAGCTAAGAACACAAGGGGGTGACTTTGATACATACGTGTGTCCATGCAATGAAGTCATTCGTGGAGTGCACCCTTTTTCCATTGTTTTGAATGGATGGGTTGCTGTACTTCAAATGTGGTGCTCAGTTGAATTCTCCTTACTTTGGTTAGCCCCACGATCTCTCTGTTCTTCTTCCTGCCCTAGTTTCGTGAAACATTTTCCTTCAAAAAGCCCACCAGCAGCATCCCACTTGGAGGTGCTTTGCCTGGGGGTGCTTCGTCTCGCCGGGAGCCTCTCTCCCCACAGGAGCTGCGTGAGTGGTTTGCCGGGCGCTGGAGGCGTGCTGCTGGTGCTGGTGGTTCTTCGACTGCAGGGGGCACTGCTGCTGCGCGCCCCGCCGGCGCTCGTACTGTGGGTGCTGGAGCTGCTGAGTCTGAGAGTTCTCCTGGAGCTGGTCCTGCTGAGGGTGTTGGCGCTGAGCCTGCCGTTGGCGGCTCGACTGACAGTGCTCCTGGTGCTGCGGCTGGAGGTTCTGGAGCTTCTGGTGGTGCTGCTGGAGGTGCTGCTGGAGTGGGTGCTCCTGCCGGGGCTGCTGGTGCTGTTCCTGCTGTTTCTAGCGTCGCCGCGCGGCCCCGACCGTACTTCGTTCCGCTCCTGCAGCAGGTTCTTGGTCTTACACCTCCTCCTCCTCCTCCCTTAGAGGGTCCGCAGCCTGTCCGGTCACAGCCACAGCTACAGCCTGCCTCCCCTTTGCCTGCTCCTTCTCCCTACGCTGGTCCGACTCGAGGTCTTACTGAGCGTCGTGAGCCTGCGTCTCGTCCTGTGTCGCCTGTTCGTACTGAGCGCGCTAGTGGTCGCGGGTCGCGTCAGCGTCCTCCTCCTGTCCCTGGCACGCACCGGATGTCACTGCGTCCGTCCAATGCTCCTCTGCGTGCCCCTTTGCCTTCTCCTCCTGCTTCCTCTCTTCCTGCTCTTGCCGACCCGGAGTCGGACGCTCTTCGTGCTGCCAGTCCTACTGTCACGCGTCTCCTGGCTACTGCTGTCACTGACCCCTCCTTCGAGTCGTCTGCTGCGTCTGCCCTTGTCACTGAGCTTGTCGACTTTGCTGCGCGCTGTCGTCTAGACTACGCTGCTCGTCTTGTCACTGAGTCTGAGTCCGCCTGTCCTCCGTCCGTCGGGGGTGAGTGTGCCCTTGGCACGGACGTCCTTGAGGACAGGCAGGAGGAGTTCCAGTGTCTGGCCGCCGCTTCACCTCGTCTCGCGTCTGTACTGCTAGCCCCTGAGGGAGACCCGGATGCACCAGACATCCCGACTCCGCGCTCTTACGCGGAGGCGATAGAGGGTCCCTACTCCTCTCAGTGGCAGGCAGCTATGGATGCAGAGATGGCTTCCTGGAAGTCCACAGGCACCTACGTTGACGCTGTTCCCCCTCCTGGGGCGAACATCGTCAGTGGCATGTGGATTTTCAGGGTGAAGCGGCCGCCGGGTTCTCCGCCTGTCTTCAAGGCGCGTTACGTGGCTCGTGGCTTCAGTCAGCGGCAGGGGGTTGACTACTTTCAGACCTTCTCCCCCACCCCGAAGATGACCACTCTTCGGGTTCTGCTACACGTTGCTGCTCACCGTGACTACGAGCTGCACTCTCTCGACTTCAGCACAGCTTTCTTGCAGGGCAGCCTGCACGAGGAGATCTGGCTGCGTCGCCCACCTGGCTTCACTGGGTCTTTCCCTCCTGGTACCCAGTGGAGTCTCCGGCGTCCAGTCTACGGTCTCCGCCAGGCGCCACGTGAGTGGCACGACACACTGAGGACTACGCTCGCGGCACTTGGGTTTGCTCCTTCCACTGCCGACCCGTCGCTGTTTCTGCGCACCGACACCTCTCTGCCGCCGTTCTACATCCTCGTGTACGTCGACGACTTGGTCTTTGCCACAGCTGACACTGCTGGACTCGCCTACGTGAAGTCCGAGCTGCAGAAGAGACACACGTGCACTGACCTGGGTGAACTGCGCAGCTACCTTGGCTTGCAGATCACCCGGGACAGAGCACGCCGCACCATTACCCTGACTCAGTCACACATGGTGCAGCAGGTCCTTCAGCGCTTCGGCTTCACGTACTCCTCGCCTCAGGCCACTCCTCTGCCTACGCGCCACTCGCTCTCAGCTCTGCCTTCGGATGAGTCCGTAGAGTCGAGTGGCCCGTTTGCAGAGCTTGTTGGCTGCCTCATGTACCTGATGACCTGCACACGACCTGACCTCGCATACCCTCTTAGCATTCTCGCACGCTTTGTTGCTCCTGGGAGACACCGACCAAAGCACATGGCTGCAGCGAAGAGGGTGTTGCGCTACTTGTGCAGTACGTCGGGCATGGGGCTAGTGCTTGGAGGGCGCAGTCCAGTGGTCCTCACTGGGCACGCAGACGCTTCTTGGGCTGACGACCAGGCTACGCAGCGGTCGTCACAGGGTTACACCTTCAGCCTTTGTTCCGGCTCTGTCTCGTGGCGGGCTACCCGCTCGTCTTCTGTTCTCGGCTCCAGTTGTGAGGCTGAGATCTACGCTGGGGCTATGGCTGCACAGGAGTTACGCTGGCTCACCTACCTGCTGACCGACCTTGGAGAGCATCCTCGTTCTCCTCCAGTCCTGTACGTAGACAACAAGGCCATGCTGGCCTTGTGTCGAGAGCAGCGACTGGAGCACAGAACGAAGCACATTGCTCTTCGCTACTTTCTTGCTCGTGAGCTACAGCAGCGTGGACAGCTGCGACTTGCGTACGTGGCCTCTGAGGCCAACACTGCTGATGTCTTCACCAAGGCACTTGCGCCTTGTGATCATCAGCGTTGCTGCACGCAGTTGGGTCTTGTGCCTGTCTTGCCTCACTTGCTCTCCTCTTGACCTTGCTTGTACTTTCGCATATATATACTCTTGCTCTTGTATATCTCTATATATGATCTTGCATGTGAACTGGCCTTGTGGCCTTTGAACTTGTGCTCGGAATGCGTGGTGACTTTGTGATCCACCCTGAGCTTTGCTTTCCTTTGCTTGACCGGTCTTGTGACCCCTTGTTCTCCCCCACTTTGCCTATGGGGGTGTGTCAGAACTTATAGCTTACTTGTTTCTGTAGGCTATAGTGGGGTATCCCATAGGGGGTACAACCCAATTAGGGTTTCCTATTTGTACTCACTTCGTTCATAGTCATTTCACTTCTCGTTCGTACTTTCTCACTTCTTACTGCCCTAGTTTCATGAAACATTTTCCTTCAAAAAGCCCACCAGCAGCATCCCACTTCGCATACTGGTGCATCATCATCCTAGAGTGCTGGTCTGGTTCTTCCTTCTTGCATTCGTACGCAATGGCAGGTCCCTCGGGAGTAATCAGCTCACGGGTTCAATTCCTGTGGAGATTGGCTCTCTACTATCTCTGGCATCCCTGTAAGGCTCCTTTTTGCCACACGAGCATAAGACTGGGCTAAGCTGGCTCGTTTTTGGGCCATGGAAAGCCGGTGGGCTGACAAGCCAAGCCGGAGTCTCCACTCGACGGGCCGGGCTGACTCGGCCCGTGGCTTGTCCGTCGTAGCAAGCCTTTGATAATGTGTGATCCCTCCCCCCCAACCTACTATCTCGTCTCTCTCGAATTGGTCACCTTTTTGACCTCTACATTTCCTTCTCGTCACTGGCCCCATTCCCTTCCCTATCGTGTCCTGCAAACACGCCAATGAACTCATATTTTCTTTCCGTGCGTCCACCCGCCACACCATCACCACAGCTCTCTCAACTCCAACTTGCTCTCAGGATCTTTGCCCTCTGCAATCACAAAGCTCACTGCTCTTACATTCCTGTAAATAATCCATTGTATTGTTTTTCTTTGTCAGAAACCTTCGCAGAGTGTGCAACAAAAGCTATTGTAGTAGCACAAGTTAGGTACGATCAAGGGCTGAGCCAGGGCAGGGCCGGCACAAATCAAGGTGGGCAGCTTTCCAAAGACAGTGATTCTGTGTGTTTGAACCACATTGTTTTATTTCATTTATGTGCTCAAACATTCGTTCACAGAACAGTTAAGCCTTGGAAAGTCCGTTTACAGCATTTGTGATTCAGGCCAAACTCGGGCAACCCTGTGACGAACCGCCCATGGCTGATTGGAACCCCACCTGGCCATCAGGCTGGTGAGGTTCAAAATGGGCCAACCTGATTGATCCTTCCTCATGTCCAGTCTCATGCTAATAATCACCGTCCCACCTTCCTTCTCACCAATTTGCCCATCGCCCTTGCACGCCTCCCACGTGTCCCTCGTCTCTCTGTCTCGGACAGCTCCCTCGCTAATAACCGGCTCACCAGCTCCATCCCCGCTGGCATTGGCTTGCTGACAAAGCTGGTAGCCATGTAAGGATCCATTGTAGGTGCTTCGCCCACATTCCTAGGCATGAGCAACAAGGTAGAAAAAACGATTGTCGAAAAATACGATTGTTTTTTTCGATGGTTTTTTACAGTATCATTTGGGAAAAAAACGTCGTTTTTTTGTTAGACAAGAAAAACTCTTCAACTTCAAAGATGCTGTTCTGATAACAAAAGCACTTCGGATAATCTTCCACTGCATCATCAGCACTTCTAACGGCCCCCTTGTTCTTCTCACCAGTCAGTCCCCTTGTTTGAGCAACAGTTTTGGTCTTTTTACTGAAAAAAACGAAGGTTTTTTTGCACCAAAAGTATTTATTTACAAAACCCGTTTCTTTTCCTATTTTACGATCCTTTCTTAGGATACGGTATTTTACGATCAAAATTTGAAAAAAACGTGGTTTTTTTGCACCTTGATGAGCAATAACTGAACCAAAACCACTTGCGCACCAGATGGGGGTGGAGAGTTTCAGAACCGCGCTCTTCAAGCCTTCAAGTCTAAAGGCACACGACACGGATTTTGCTCATGCCTTGATTGAACACCCTGATTGGGACAGGTCGCTGGTCTCCAACCAGCTCAACGGCTCCATTCCGGCAGACATTGGTGCCCTCACCAAGTTGACAATTATGTAAGAAGATACGCTTTTGTTGTTCTTCTCACATCTCCTGTGCTCTCCCAGGACTCTTTCCCCCCCTTTTCGGTATAGCACGACCTCTTTGATCTCCCTCAGTTCTCCCCTATATCACTTCACTTCCCTGTTTCGATTGTTCACTTCCTTTTCCCTTCATTGAGATCTTCTCTTCTTTCTTGTGATCAAATTCTCACAATATATTTTCTGCAAGTGGATGTCGTAATATCATAATTCCAATATTCGTGTTGCCTCACATTCTTCTAGCATTTTGCCTCGTCTCGTCTTCTCCAAAGGACGACCATCTTCATATGCTAATCACCCTTTGTATGGTCTTACCCAACCTCATCGCTGTCCTCCCTCGCTTCAGTCTGGTCTTCTCTTGTATGCTACAACGTCACTATAACCCAAGTGGTATTTTATAATCTGGCTTCATTTCAGAGCCGTTTCAAGCAACCAGTTGTCTGGCAGCATTCCTGCTGCCATCAGCACACTCGCCCAACTTCTTTGCCTGTTAGTGAATCTCTACTCTAGTCTAGTGCTGTCAGTTTCCTCTCACAGGGGAGCTTCTTTTTTATGTTAAGCGTGAGCTAACAACATTAGGGGCGTACATGCATGCATTAAAGTCTTTTGCGAAGCACCCATTTAGATCCCATGACCAGAGAGTGTTGTAGCTTTATTTCAAGCTCTAATTTTCTCATAGTCTACGACGCCCCCTTCCACCTAGTCATGACCATGTGGCCCGGCCTGACCCGACCCGACCCGACTTGGCTGGGCCAGATGGGTTCCCGGGTCGGGCCAGCTTCGAGCCAAGCTTGTGGAGGGTCTGACCCAACCCGAGTTTTGAAATTCGGGTCAGAACTGACCCGACTCCGGGTCGGGCCAGGCTGACCTGTGAAAATAAGTGAATAGGAATGAAATGACTAAGGAAAGATTGGGTACAAATGCAACCCTAGAAACCCTGTACCCCATATGTGCTACCCCACTATAGCCTACAAACATGCATCAGCTATAATACTCTGACACACCCCCATAGGCTAAGTGGGGGAGAACAAGGGGTCACAAGACCAGTCAAGCAAAGCAAAGCAAGCTCAGGGTGGATCACAAAGTCACCACACAGTCCGAGCACAAGAGCAGGGCCAGAGGCCAGTTCACATGCAGGAGTACAGACATATATATAAAACTAGACAAGCAAGAGCAGGTATATATATGTCACAGTACACGTGAAGTCAAGAGGAGAGCAAGTGAGGCAAGACAGGTACAAGACCCAGCTAGGTGCAAAAGCGCTGATGGTCACAAGGCGCGAGTGCCTTGGTGAACACATCAGCAGTGTTGGCCTCAGAGGCCACGTACGCAAGTCGCAACTGACCACGCTGCTGCAGCTCACGAGCAAGGAAGTAGCGGAGAGCAATGTGCTTCGTTCTGTGCTCCAAGCGCTGCTCTCGACACAAGGCCAGCATGGCCTTGTTGTCTACGTACAGCACTGGAGGAGAACGAGGCGGCTCTCCAAGGTCAGTCAGCAGGTAGGTGAGCCAGCGAAGCTCCTGTGCAGCCATGGCCCCGGCGTAGATCTCAGCCTCACAACTGGAGCCGAGAACCGAAGACGAGCGAGTAGACCGCCACGAGACAAAGCCGGAACCAAGACTGAAGGTGTAACCCTGTGACGACCGCTGCGTAGCCTGGTCGTCAGCCCAAGAAGCGTCCGCGTGGCCGGTAAGGACCACTGGACTCCGCCCTCCAAGCACTAGCCCCATGCCCGACGTACTGCACAGGTAGCGCAATACCCTCTTCGCTGCAGCCATGTGCTCCGGTCTGTGTCTCCCAGGAGCAACATAGCGTGCAAGAATGCTCAGAGGGTATGCAAGGTCAGGTCGTGTGCAGGTCATCAGGTACATGAGGCAGCCAACAAGCTCTGCATACGGACCACTCGACTCTACGGACTCATCCGAAGGCAGAGCTGAGAGTGAGTGGCGAGTAGGCAGAGGAGTGGCCTGAGGCGAGGAGTACGTGAAGCCGAAGCGCTGAAGGACCTGCTGCACCATGTGTGACTGAGTCAAGGTAATGGTGCGGCGTGCTCTGTCCCGAGTGATCTGCAAGCCAAGGTAGCTGCGCAGTTCACCCAGGTCTGTGCACGTGTGTCTCTTCAGCAGTTCGGACTTCACGTAGGCGAGTCCAGCAGTGTCCGCTGTGGCAAAGACCAAGTCGTCGACGTACACGAGGATGTAGAACGGCGGCAGGGAAGTGTCGGTGCGAAGAAACAGCGACGGGTCAGCAGTAGAAGGAGCAAACCCAAGAGCCACAAGCGTAGTCCTCAGTGTGTCGTGCCACTCACGCGTTGCCTGGCGGAGACCGTAGACTGGCCGTCGGAGGCTCCACTGGGTGCCAGGAGGGAAAGTCCCAGTGAAGCCAGGTGGACGGCGAAGCCAGATCTCCTCGTGCAGGCTACCCTGCAAGAACGCAGTGCTGAAGTCGAGAGAGTGAAGCTCGTAGTCGCGCTGAGCGGCTATGTGCAGCAGCACCCGAAGAGTAGTCATCTTCGGGGTGGGAGAGAAGGTCTGAAAGTAGTCAACTCCCTGCCGCTGACTGAAGCCACGAGCAACGTACCGTGCCTTGAAGACAGGTGGAGAGCCCGGCGGCCGCTTCACCCTGAAGATCCACATGCCACTGACGATGTTCGCCCCAGGAGGGGGAACCGCGTCAACGTAGGTGCCTGTGGACTTCCAGGAAGCCATCTCTGCATCCATAGCTGCCTGCCACTGAGAGGAGTAGGGACCCTCTACGGCCTCCGCGTAAGAACGCGGAGTCGGGATGTCTAGTGCATCCGGGTCTCCCTCTGGGGCAAGCAGTACAGACGCGAGATGAGGTGAAGCAGCCGCTAGACACTGTAACTCCTCCTGCCTGTCCTCTAGGACGTCCGTGCCAAGAGCACACTCACCCCCGACGGACGGAGGACAGACAGACGCAGACTCAGCAACAAGACTGGCAGCGTAGTCGAGACGACAGCGAGCAGCAAAGTCGACGAGCTCAGCGACAAGGGCAGACGCAGCAGTGGACTCAAACGAGGGGTCAGTGACGACAGTAGCAAGGAGACGCGTGACAGTAGGACTGGCAGCATGAAGAGAGTCCGACTCAGGGTCGGCAAGCGCAGGAAGAGAGGACTCAGGAGGAGAAGGCAAAGGGGCACGCAGAGAAGCAGTGGACGGACGCAAAGACATCCGGTGCGTGCCAGGGACAGGAGGAGGACGCTGACGCGAACTGCGACCACTAGCGCGAGCAGCACGAACAGGCGACGCGGGACGAGACGTAGGCTCACGACGCTCAGCAAGACCTCCAGTAGGACCAGTGTAAGGAGAGGGAGTAGGCAGTGGAGAGGAAGGCTCCAGCAGGGACTGCGACTGGACAGGCGGTGGACCCTCTACTAGAGGAGAAAGACCAAGAACCTGCTGCAGGAGTGGAACGAAGTACGGCCGAGGCCGCGCGGCAGCTCCAGACTCAGCAGGGACAGCACCACCACCCTCAGCGACAGCACCAGTGCCACCCACACCTCCAGCGGCAGGACCAACAGCAGTAGGCTCAGCACCAACGCCCTCAGCAGCTCCAGCTCCAGGAGGACCCGCAGGTCCAGGAGCTCCGGGACCGGCAGCACCCGCACCCTCGACGGTCGAAGAAGCTCCAGCTCCAGCTCCAGTAGCACCTCCGGACGCAGCAGCACGCGTCCAGCGGCGAGCGAACCACTCGCGCAGCTCCTGTGGAGAGAGGGGCTCCCGGCGAGACGCAGTAGCAGGAGAAACCCCAGGCTCAGCAGCTCCAGACGCAGCACCCCCAGGCTCAGCAGCTCCCAGCACAGCACCCCCAGGCTCAGCAGCTCCCGACCCAGCACCCCCAGACCCAGCACCTCCAGGCACAGCACCCTCCGGCTCAGCACCCCCAGGCTCCGCACCCTCCGCAGTAGCACCCTCAGGCCCAGCACCCCCAGCAGTAGCACCCCCAGGCTCAGCACCCCCGCGCACAGCACCCCCAGAGTCAGCACCCCCAGGCTCAGCATCCGCAGCAGTACCAGAGTCACCAGTAACCTCGACCGGGTCAACGGCGTCTACCTGGGACACACCTGAGGGGGCAGGAACCTGAGGGGGGAGGGGGTCGACCGGGGGGGGAACCGGCACAAGGAAGTCCGGGGGAGGGGGGAGGGAAGGAGTGCGGTAGGGGAAGAGGCGGTAGAAGGTGACAGACTCGTCGAACGTGACGTCCTGGGAGGACAGAACACGACGAGAGGAGGGGTGGTAAAACTGCCACCCTGGGGCGTCAGTGGGGAAGCCAAGGAAGACACAGGGAGCAGCACGAGGGGACAGCTTGTCCGCAGACAAGTCGCGGACAAACGCCCGAGATCCCCAGACACGGAACACAGACGCATCGCCAACCTTCCCCGTCCACAGCAAGGCTGGGGACATCGCAGGCCGAGAGACCCGGGGGTGAAGGTTGAGCTGATGCGCCGCGTACCTCACCGCAAACGGCCACAGAAAATGGGGGGCAGCCGCATGCATCATGGACGTACGAGCGACATCCATGACCATGCCAATGCGGCGCTCAGCAATCCCATTTTGCTGTGGTGAGTCCGGAAGCGTGAAGGTCTGGCGGATCCCCCGCGCACGACAGTAGTCCCGCAGAAGGCGAGAAGAGAACTCTCCGCCTCTGTCCGAGTGCAGACGCAGAACAGGAAAGTCCGAGCCGAAGCTCTTCCTGAGCTGGAGACGAGCCTCGCGGATCCAGTCGATCAGCACCTCAGTGACCGCACCCTTGCTGCGCAAGGGGAGGACTGTGGTGTAACGCGAGTAGTCGTCAACCACCAACAGGAAGTAGCGCTCGTAACCCTGCCCACGGACGGGGGCTGGGCCCCACACGTCCATGTGAAGCGTCTGCAGGGGAGCCTCTGTCGGGGGGAACTGGGAGGAGTGAGGAGTAGCCCGGAGGCGACCCTCGACACAGGGGACACAGGAAGGTCC